AAAAGTTTGAGTGTTCGCCGTATAAAGGGTATATTTTATTGTGAAAGTTTGAGTGTTCGCCGTATAAAGGGTATATTTCATCATGAAAGTTTGAGTGTTCGCCGTATAAAGGGTATATTTCATTATGAAAGTTTGAGAGTTCGCCGTATAAAGGGTGTATTTTATTGTGAAAGTTTGAGTGTTCGCCGTATAAAGGGTACATTTTATTGTGAAAGTTTAAGTGTTCGCCGTATAAAGGGTATATTTCATCATGAACGTTTCAGTGTTTGCCGTATAAAGGGTATATTTCATTATGAAAGTTTGAGTGTTCGCCGTATAAAGGGTACATTTTATTGTGAAAGTTTGAGTGTTCGCCGTATAAAGGGTATATTTCATCATGAACGTTTCAGTGTTTGCCGTATAAAGGGTATATTTCATTATGAAAGTTTGAGTGTTCGCCGTATAAAGGGTATATTTTGTTGTAAAAGTTTGAGTGTTCGCCGTATAAAGGGTATATTTTATTTTGAAAGTTTGAGTGTTCGTATAAAGGGTATATTCATCATGAAATTGTCAATGTAATTCGACGTTTTATTAGATTCACAATTAGGATTAATTTATAAAATTAAGAATTTTAAAGAATTCACCACAAAAAAGAAGATAGAAAAGAAGGGTATAAATGTCGATAAAGTTATTGGTGCACAACACACTATACATTGTTAAAGCTGTTGATGTATAGCACCTCAGTTATTGGCGCACAACACACTATACATTGTTAAAGCTGTTGATGTATAGCACCTCAGTTATTGGCGCACAACACACTATACATTGTTAAAGCTGTTGATGTATAGCACCTCTTTTGTAAAACCAATAGTACTTTCATCATATGTTTTCTGTCTTTTTTTTTTTTCGCCTCTGAGAGAAACCATAACAGACTGAAGTATCTTTAATATGCAAATAATTTTTATAAAAAACTATAGATGTGTTACAAGCTTCCAAATAAAGTAGCAGTGGTAATGTTATTTAATAAAAGAGTTTGTAAAAACATGTTGTTACGTGATAAAAACGTCTCCACTTTTGCACATTTTTTGTTGATTAAAAAAATATCAGTGAAACATTTCCTAATTTCTTATCTAAAACAATTAACAACCAGAAAGTACTCTGGAATGTTTCAGGTTTTCAGTTTTCTAATACTTAAATATCATATATGAAACTTTGTAGAATTGACAACAACTGTCTGTTGTAGAGACACAAACTGTCCTCTACACTTGTGTCTACAACAGGCAGTTGCCGTTCGTTCTACATAGTTTCATCATGAATACTCTGCCTAAACAATTTATCAACAAAAATATATATCATATATGTTTTCCTGTCAAACTTCTCGTAAAGAAACATAAACACATCAGATTTTTGTCAAACCGTTATTGCATATTTTACACTCTAAATATTCTCAATATTTTCAAAGTATATTATAAAAATGAAATTTCATTTCATTAGAATTCCGAGACAGAACATGAGTGAGTTTTATTTCATTTAAAAAAACTTGTAATATAACGTATACCTAATTCGTCTTTGGCCACCATTTTTGAGAGACGAGTCCGAATTGCTATCGAACTGGTTCCATGTAATATGCTTGCACTTAACCCTGAAGAAATATGAAACAAACTAGCGTTAGGAGTGTCTAAGTGACTATAATCAAAATTCAAAAAAACTTATATTTATAAATTATACAAAGGAATTATTTGTGGATCCTAGCAAGTTTCAGATAAGCTATATTTATGCTTGTTATTTTACCTAATACGATTACTTAGAAGTAAAATGCGAAAACACAAGAGAGAAAAAAGCTTACTTCAATCTAAAATGGCACTTAAGTATGAATAAAAAAAATCAATAATATTGTTTCTTTCTGCTTGCTAATATTTAAGTTTACAAACTACAAAGGGAGTAATTTATGTTTTAAAATTACAAATGGTTGTTCGTTAGGCATTAACCCCAAAACTAAAAAATAAGCTATCTGTGATATGCCCACCACGGGTATCTAAGCTCAGTGTTGAACGTCATAAGCCTTCAGACTTACCACTGAGCGACTGGGGAGCAATTACAAAGGGAGGAATTTATACGTTTACAAACTACAAAGAGTGTGATTTATACCTTTAAAAATTAAAAAGTGCTTATTGACGATCGGTAGAGCTATATATTTGATGACGAGAAACCCACTTTGAGACTAAGAATGGTTGGAGACGGCTTGAATTGGTAATAAAGAAAAACTTTAATATAAGTTTAACATAACCTGATGATGACAAAACTTTGTCGAAATGTTGTACATTTGCTGTTATGTTAAACTTATATTAAAGTTTTTCTTCATTACCCATTCAAGCCGTCTCCAACCATTATTAGAGCTATATATTAATCAGTAATAACTTTAAAAAAAGGAAATATATATATATAATATTTCATTACATCAATAACACCAGGAATTCTTAATTATTTGTCTTTTCTTTGTGTATAATACATTTCATTCAACTAATTAGACACAACTAATTACTGCATATACTATGTAATTTTCACGACGTAAAAACGATATATATTGTTGTTGTTTTTCACCCACCAGATGTCACGATAGTTTATAACGTCGCTTTTTAAATGATTAACAGCGGTTTTTCGAGTCAGGGAGACTAGGTTTTGCAGATCCAAAATTTTCAAGTCATGCTTTTGATTGGTTAAAACTT